ACGAAAAAAGAGACAAAAAAAAAAAAAAAAAAAATCTGCTATTGTTTTTTCCCCATAGAAACTCCAAATATTGACAGAGAAAAATATGTCAGAATTAAGAAAGCTTAGTGAGTGTAGGGAGCCTGACAGTAGATCAGGCATCTGCACTTGGGACCTGGGATTAAAATATTACCACTTACCTAGAGAAAAACCATAACCAATAGTGGCTCACAGTTTCCAAACAGGTGGAATTATATCAGCCACTATATGAGATTTTTTAGACAATACAGCAAAACAAATTTACTGCATAAAATGGTTTTGTTTTTCTCACTTGTTAACTGATGTGAAAATTCATCTGCAAAGGCAGTGTTAAAATCTTCTCAAATCTTCTGGGAGAAATGTAAAAGAGAAAAAAAACTGAGATAACTGAGTAAGAAGTATTTTCTTCTTGTAAAACTCAGACAAAGAATAATAAGGAATCTATTCCAGATGAAAATGTATAGGCTGCTGTTTAAATGGCTGTGTAAGATATCATTTTTACTGTACATTTTCTGAACCTAATTTAATTTTATGTTCAAATTCTACAAGTGCCTAGATATGTATCCAGCAGCAAAGACTTATCACATTGAAAAGGAAGGGGAAATATAATTAATGGAGTTATTGATGGACACCTAGAAATACATGTTGTCCTTATTACTTCAAAGTCCAGTTTGTTTACGCACCCTGCATTGTGAATTCTCCATCAGGAAAGGAATGGAGAATATGCAGAAACACAGACAGTGTGGCCAAAATGACAGCAGCATATTTTCTGTAGTAATCCATGGCTCACCTGAAAAACAGATATGGCCCCCAAAAAAGTTAATCTAACATTAGCTTACCAGTCATAACAACAGCCATTAGTTTTAACAATACTACCAATAAAATAGCCATCAATGTCTTGACCCCTCTGCTTTCAACTCCCAACCTACTATATATAACACCATGTAAATAAAAAACAAGTTAACTTTAGGAAATAGTTAACTTTAGGGAATTGAATCTTCCCATTTTTCACATAAACATGCAGAATTGGGCTTAATAATAACAACAAATTCTCTTTTTAAATATATTATCCTATAAAGAAGCCTCAATTGTTCTTGTTTGTAAAACACGGAACTTAAACTAGATACTATCTTAGAATATTATGGTATATGGTATATAAAATACGCAATCGTTTGAGACCATTCTTTACATTCCCAGCTAGAAACAGAAGGAAAGACAATGTCTCTCCTGCTTTTTATCCACTGGTGGTAGGTGAGTTCTAAATCTCATTATCAATGAGTACATGCTAACCCAGCAATGCAGCAAAGGCAGACAGCAGAAAATGTTAATCGAAGTTTTCCATGTAGGTTTTCCACTTAGCACTTCTTGACTTATTTATGTCTGTAGATACAGCTGTACCTAAGCATCCCGAGTGCATGAGGTCAAGCCATCCAAGGTCAGCTCAGTGGTTGACCATATCCAGACATTGACCTCACTGCATCTAAGAATGGGGGACAGGAAATTGTAATCCACATGTCCTAGGGAAAATCTCATGTAAGATGAAAGAGGCAAGTTTTTATCCCCATTTTTTAAGCGAAAGTGCTATGGATTGCTTATGCTCAAACCATGAGAGTTAAGAGAGACAGAGCATCATTAGCAATAAAAAGACAATTCAGAACATTTAAAGAGAAATTAACACCAATTATACAGAATCACTTCTAGAAAATAGAAAAGAAGAGAGCAGCTCCCAACTCATTTTATGAGGCCAGGGTTACTATTACACCAAAATCAGACAAATGCCATAAAAAAAAAAAAAAAAAAAAAATTAAAGACCAGTATCTCTCATGAAATTAGATGCAAAGGGCCGGCCGGTGGCGCACTCAGTAGAGTGCGGGTGGCCCTCTCGCCGAGGGTTCGGATCCCATATAGAGACCAGTCCGCTCACTGGTTGAGCGCAGTGCGGGCATGACACTGAGGGTTGCGATCCCGTTGCCAGTTGCAGTACGGGCGCGACACCGAGGGTTGCGATCAGGCAACGTCTAATACTCTTTATGGTAAAAACTTTTTGCAAACAAGAATCAGGAGTGTTTTCTCAACTTGATAAAGGCATTTACAAGTCTACAGCCAACATTATACTTAAAGGTGAAAAAAACTGAATGCTTTTCCCCCAAGATGGGGAAATGGCAAGGTCCACTCTTACCTCTTGTTCAACATCATATTGGAAGTTCTAGGCAGCACAATATGGCAAGAAAAAGAAATTAATGGCACACAGATTGGAAAGGATGAAATAAATCTATCCCTATTCATAGAAGACATGATCATCCGTGTAAAAAAAATAATAAAATAAGGAACCTACCAAAAAAAGGCTCCTGGAACTAGTTAGTGAGTTTAGCATGGTTGCATGACACAAGATCAACACACAAGATTCACTTGCATTTCTATATACTGGGGGGAAAAAAGTGAAAATAACTTAAAAGCACAATTACGTTTATAACTGCTCCAAAGAAAATAAAATACTTAATTATAGATCTAACAAAATATGTCAGGACTTGTATGCTGAAAATTATAAAATGCTGATGAAAGAAATCAAAGACAGAAATAAATGGAAAAACATATCATATTCATGGATTGGAAGACTAAACATAGCCAAGATGCCAGTTCTCTCCAAATTAACCTGTATATTTAAATGAAATACCTATCAAAATACCAGCACTGTTTTTGTAGATATGGATATTATTATAATAACATAATAATATCATTATTATAACATAATATCATTATTATAATATAATAATATCATTATTATAACATAATAATAATATTGAAAGGCAAAAGATCTAGAGTGGCTAAAACAATTTTAGAAACAAAGTGGGAGGAATCACTATTTTCAGTGTTAATGCTTATCATATAGCTACAGTACAGCAATCAGAACAGCATAATGTTGGCAGAAGGGTAGATTCATTGGACAGATAGACCAATTGGACAGAATAGACAACTCAGAAATAGATCCACGCAAATACAAGTATTCCCAGATGGTTTTTACAAAGATACCAAAGCAACTTAACAGAGGAATTCAACCTTTTCAGCAACTGCTGCTAGAGCAATTGGACATCCACAGGCAAAAGACGAAAACAAACAAACATGCAAAGAAACCTTCAACCTAAACCTCACACCTTATGTGCAAACTAACTCAAAATGGGCCATAGACTTCAGTGTTAAATGTAAAAATATAAAATTTTTAGAAAAGAATGGGAAAAAAATTGCGGGATTTAAGGCTAGGTGAAGAATTTTTGGACTTGACAACAAAAGCATGGCCCACAAAAGTAAAAATTGATAAATAGTACCTTGTGCAGGATACCAACATTAATAAAACAAATGCAGTTTTAGCAAGGCCAAAGCCCTGTAGTTTAAGGTAGAGCCTAACTGTTTAGAATTGCACATAGAAATGCTAAGCTTGGGAAAAACAGAAACCTTTCCCAGGGCTAAAGTCTCTGTTGTAGATAAAAATATTGTAACACAGCAAAAGAGCTTGCTCTAAGGGCAGACGTCCTTGGTGCAGCTAAACCTAATGATGGGAAAGTATGGGATCTAAAGGTGTCAGGGTTATGGTTGGGGGATGTTCCTCATCTTGCCTGCAGCTGTTTCCTTGAGTTTCTTGGGGAACTAAGTTTTGCCATGACAATTGTCTCATTGCTCTTTTTGTAACCACATGTGTTCCTTTTCTGTAACTTTCTTGCCTGGACAATAAAAACTGAGAGAAAAACCTGATTCAGGGTTGCTTCCGGGATCTTTCTGCTCTGGAAAGAATTCCTGCTGGGGTAACTGCTTCGGGCCTCTCACTGCTCAGAAGAAATGGGCTTTGAATAATCCTTTGCATCTCCATCACCCCGGGAGAGGTGACAGTATCTCATACAAATTATGGGTTAATCCCCTGTTAAGAGGATAATAATATGAGTACAATGTATAGACCTGGAGAAAATATTTATAAGACATGTATTCAACAAAGGATGGGTATGTAGAATACAGTATTAAAGAATTCTCCAAACCCAACAGAAAAAAAATCTAATTACTTGTTTTGTATTGCAGAACAAATTGTTTGTTGTTCCATTGCACTGGAGAGGATTTAGACATGAATAATAAGCACATGAAAAGTATTCAACATCATCAACCATTAAGGAAATGCAAATTAAAACCACAATGAGGGCCGGCCCGGTGGCGCACTGCTACAGTGCGCCGCTTGGGAAGTGCGGCGGCACTCCCGCCGAGGGTTCGGATCCCACATACAGACCGGTTCCCGCTCACTGGCTGAGCGAGGTGCGGGAGCAACA